TTATGCTAATGAAATACTGCTGGGCTTTTTCTACAAAAAAGCCCTGTTTGTAACCATTACATCATTTTTACAGCTACATAAAGTGTGAATAAGAATGATGTACATCAAATTCCTCCACACAGACTTTTTATGAAATACATATCATTTAACCTTGAGTGCCATAAACTATGTAAAAGATCAGTTTCTCAGATAGTAGTATGCTGTGTTACCAGGTGGGTTCTTACTAGCAATATATTTGTTCTGAGAGAGGTCATCCAAAGGGAAAAAATACATGATGTCGAGATGCAGGGATGCTTTTTGTACATTTCTTTGGGAGTAAAGTTGCATTTTACCCTTCAGATTGTGATGGTGGTAGAAAGTTCTGCCAAGTCACAGTTGACTTAAGGCAACCCCATAGGGTACCACACTATAATAGATGGAGATGTGCTTATACTTAAAGTTGAATTTGTAGACATTATATTTATAATTGATCTTTTAAAAAATTATCTTTTGTTTAGAAATGAGCACTGCTAATAATAGAAAATGTTTCTGATGATCTTTGTCATGGTCTCTGTGCTTCACACCCATGGGATTCAGTGCGCCTGCGCTGGATCGATCAGTATTGTAGCAAGCTCTAACGGATTTTTGCGCCCAGACCTCAGGCATGCGCAGGAACCCCCAACCATGTATGCCCAGAGGGATGGGTGCAGACATCCTGCCAGTTCCTTTCTTTCCGCCGTGCTGGGAACAACTTTCCTTGGTCGGTGAGATTGGTAGCTGTTTTTTCCTCAGAAGCTCTTCGGATTTCACTTAGTCTGTTCTCTTCTTCCTTCGCTTCTTTGTTTTTTCTCCTTATATCTAAAAAAAAAATTTTTTTTTTAAAGGGGGAAGTTTACCTCAGCTTGCCCTTCGCCCCCCCACCTCTTATCTCCCCCCCCTTTTTTCTTTGTTTTATTTTAGGGAGAAGAGGTGGGGCTTTTTCAAGCATTGAACTGGGTGCGGCAGTAAACTCGCTCCGCCTGACGGCCACACCCTTTGTATTTTTTGTCTGGGTGAGAGACACCGCCCAGAGTCTTGCCAGCACTGTGCCAAGTTTTCCAATCAAACTAGGAAAAATCGAGTGGCGCGTCTCCGAATAGTGTTACTGGATTCAGCGCACCCTCTTCTGTTGTAGATCCAGACGTGCCGGTGAGACCATCGAGGGCTCCGGCATCAAAGTCCTCGTCCGACATCATCCAGTCGACATCGAAGCGTCCAGCACCAAACAGTCTTCAGCGTCCACTCCCGTAAAAAAGGAGAAATCTGGTAAAGACCACAAGTCCGCCAAAAAGGGTTCCTCTAAGCCGCTGAGGCGGCGAAGTCTGGAAAAGTTGCAGGTTCTGCACTGGGTATTGCCCCTAAGTTGCCCCCCATTTTTACGACTGTATCAGCATCGGAGGCTCCCGTCGCCCCACCAATACCGACCATCCAACTGATGGACTCTCCTATACACCAGCTAGACCATGATACGCTGGCTGACATGCGTCCTTTCTCCGACAATGTGGAAATCCTCAGCCGTCCCTTGGGCAGGGATCATTCTCCCTCTGCTCAGTCATCAGTGTCGCCACTCTCTGAGTTCTGTGTCGCTATCGGTCCAAGTTGGCATCGACAGATCCCGTCCGACACCCAATGTCACCCCCCCCCAGTCTTTTTGCCAAAGATCGGCCTTTCGATATCGACACGGGGCTGATAGGGGCCACTCCCGGAGACGAGAAACTTCACTGTCTCCCAGACACTCCCACTCCAGGAGTAGATTGCCACGGGTTTTTCTGCCCCCACCAC